TTCGCAAAGCTTCCACACTTCAGCCGGCATGCTCGTTACCGGAACTGCCTTCCGCCCTTTGAGCGCACGGGTGGCCACCGCAAGCTCAGACTCTCCAAACTGCATGGGCGTACATGAAACAGGCGTGGCATCGGTCTCTGCACTACTAAAAGCACTGCTGAAGTATTCATAAATCTTTTCAAACTCATCCTTAGGCGCAAGATGGCGCAAGCATTTCCCCTGCCTTACCCCTTATTTTAACCCTCTCTCGGCTACGCCTGGGCGCTAAGACATTGATAACCTGATAAACCTTACCTAGGTCATGCTTCTCAGCGGCCTCCTCTGCCTGCTGCACGTGCTCCTCAAACCAAGAAGCGCGTGCCTGCCTGCAGGCCTGCTTAAGCTCACGACTGGCCTTTCGAAAATCCGCAAACCTACGCCACGCAGTCATCATGCCCTGAAGCGTATGGGTGACACCTCCCCCATGCATAGCCCTGTGGGCATTCCACATATGCGCGACTGAGTTAAGGACTTCGGGCCTAGTACTAGGCTTACTAGGCTTAGGGGTCGGAAGGGATCGGCGTGGGTACAAGGCCTTACACTTATTAACCAGACATGTATTAAGTGCAGCCAAGTCAGTAGGGGCTGAACCTTCAGTGAGGACTTGTACAGCAAAGGTTCGGAGCTCTTGGGAGCGCGCATCACCCTCACGCAATGAATTGCGCAGGCAGGCTACAGAGAATCCCGCTGTCACTGGTTTACGAGCTCCAAAGGTCCAGCCTGCACGCCATGGAATAGTTGCGCGCACTGCTCTGTGTTTAGGCCCGCGCCTCCATGGGGCCAAGTCAAAAGCCTCTGCTCGAGACTGTCTGGACAATGCGTCTGCAGTGGGTCTCCTCAGGGCTATAACATCGATCATGCTACGAACATTGTCGTGACAAAATGTGTGACAGGCACTCGTTCGCGCTGTGCCCCAGCTATTAAGCACTAAAAGGTTCTGGGAAGTGATGACCGCCTCAAACTCTGGATCTCTGTGTTAGTTGGTGGGCATAGTACCACATCCAATGTGCCCGGCCACGGGTTGCAGCTGGGTGTTCGCATCCATGCCCAACACCACCATGTGTCGCGCGGGCAGGCTTTGCAGCAAGTGACTGAGCCTATCCCAGAAATGATGGCTACGTCCGGTAGCAGCCGATGTGTTCGCTTGTCCCTGCCAGACGTGCTGGTAGCCAGCAATGACATCCAGGTTGACTTTAACGTTATAACATCGGACATCCAGTAATCGGCCGGGGACCCAGGTGTGGAAGGCAATGTTCTCCCGAGGTGCCACCCGAGTAGAAACAAACACTCCAACGCCTGCGTAGCGCGTGGCGCTGTCCGCCGTGATAATCACTGTCCAGCCAGGTATATCCCAGCTATTGTCATGCTTGCCACATCCCCAGTGCAATTCCTGCAGGATCACTATGTCATCTTTGCAGGTCTGCGTCAGCCACCTGTGCAGTACCGCATAAACCTCCGCCGTAACGCCACCCACATTGTAAGTCCGAACACGCAGCCTCGGCTGAGCTTGCCATGCTCGAGCCAATGGTAGGCCTCCTCGCAGCCTTCTGGCTGGGGGCGATTCAATCAACGGAGATTCTGTTCTGGTACCCAGCTCAGCAGCTTGATACCAGCGCCCACGATACATAGTGCCGCCTCGAGCCTCCGCTCTGCGTCGCGCTCTTCTGAACGCGCGTTTGCGCGCGTTGGAGATCTGGGGCCGCTCACCATGGCACTCTCCAGGTGATTCCACTGCATCCGTGGAAGATGCAGCTTCCAGGCCACTTGTGGTGGGTGACCTAACCCTCGGGTTAATATGGGTTAATCAGCGTGCGAGGCGCACCACGATTGCCTCCTGAGCGTGCTGACCGGGAGACTTGGGACTCCCGCGGCTGGAACTCTCGTGCCGTTGGGCTGAGCATAATCACCGTCAAACAGATGTAGCAGAGCAATCGCGAAGCCATGAACCCTTCAGCGCACGCACAGCCCTACCTTCCAGCTCAGTCTCCAGCCGAAACCCTTTAGTAGCAGTATAGTGGTAGTAGTAGTAGTAGTAGTAGTAGTAGTAGTAGTAGTAGTAGTTGCTGTTGTTGTAGTTGTAGTTGTAGCGCAGCGGCAGCAGCAGTAGTGGCAGAAGCAGTAGCAGTAGCAGCAAGAAGCAGCAATAGCAGTAGCAGTGGCAGTGGCGGTGGCAGTACTAGCGGCAATTGGCAGGTGGCAGTGGCTGTGGCAGTAGCCCTCGCATGGGGCACTGGCATTAGCAGCAGCAGCAGCAATAGCATTCGTAACCGTAGCAGGGGTAGCTGGAATAGGGGGTGGTGGCCATGGTGCTGTTGGGGGTCAAAGTCGTAGTAGTAGGAGAGTAGTAGTGACGGCAGGAGTTTACAATATGTGGCCTGAGGGCCGGGTATACATTTCTCCGCTAGGCACACAGTGCAAAACCAATATTGAAACAAATGGCATGATTCTTATCATGCTTTCGGCACGATTCGAGCCTGGATTCGCCTGGGCACAGGCCTTGAATATTACACACGGGTCAGTGCGTTGTTCCTCTTCCTGCATATAGATGGACATTTGCGCAGTACTCTCGCATACACATTGCACACATTCATCCGTACAAACATACATACGCACATGTAGAAGTACATACATGCGCATGCTCATGCGCATGCACCTAAACATACATCCATGCATGCAAACAGGTCCGTCTAGCCCAGCTTGGTTGTTTGTGACTGACACCACCCCACGGATGCATAGGCAAAAAGTGCCGCTGCTGCCTGCAAGGTGAGACGTGGAGCGGATGCGCCGTGGTCTGCACAAATGAAGCGCGCCACACCTTCCCAGGCATGCGAACACACTCTAGCAACAACGCATGCTTGGCATGATGTACTGTGTGAGAGACACCAGCGAAAAAATCTCGCTCACACGCACAGCTACATATACATACATACATGCATACGTACATACATACATACATACATACATACATACACTTGCTACGCGACTTTTTATGTGTATGTATATGTATATATATATATATATATATACATACATATGGATATGTGTGCATGTGTATGTGCATATATGTTAATTGTATGTATGCATGTCTGTACGTCCGTATGTCTGTATGTTTATTTGTTTGTTTGTATGTCTGTATGTCTAGATTTCTGTATATCCTTATGTAAGTAAGTATGTATGTACTATGTATGTGCGTATTTGTGTTTGTGCATACGTGTGTATGTAAGCATACATATACTTGTACATATACATGCATAATCTACATATGATATTCATATATGTTCGCATATACGTATACACATACAAATCCACGCGCACACACACACACACACACCCACACCCACACACACGCACACACACGCACACACACACACACACACGCACAAACATACGCCCACGTTCATGCTGGTCGAAGTGGCAGTTCAGTCCATGCTAGATCGTACTGCATGTCAGGAATGTCATGAAAACGAGCACTGACTTTGTAAGCAAGACAGGCCATGACTTTCTTGGTGGATTGTGCCCTGCCCACTCTCTATTCGTACGTACAAAGTTTCGCGCCCTGAATCTACACTCAATTGATGTACACGCACAACACGCATGACCTCACCATGTTTCGGCAACAGACCGAAGTCCTTTGCGCGCTCATTTCTAACCGAGACCTCGTTTCAAATCGACGGATCCCGAACAAGAAGCGAGCAAATGATAAGCACGGTCAACTTGGCTGACCATGTTTCAGAGAAGACTTTGCTTGGACGCACATGCAGTGCTCCCAGGTCTCTAAGTCTCTACCTTCCTCAACTCCAAGCAAAAAAGTGCTAAAGGTTCAACCTAGCCTGCCATGGCTACCTACGCATCTCAGAGTGACTCTCGACTCCGGTCGGCCTGGACTTGATGGTCGTGCCCTGATGCTGCCAGTGGCTGAGCGGAAAAGACACAGGCAGGTGCTTGACACTCCAGAGGGTGCCAATGTAAAGGAGAGCAATTTGGAACGAGCCCTGAAAATGTTGCTCACTGCATTGCTGGATGCAGCTCGTGACTGCAGCGGAGCACTACATACTACCAAATCTGTAAGCTTTGCGTTTTCAACACGTAGCCTGGCAAGTTGATCCAGTCAAGCATAGGTTCGGGCTAGGGGTACTAGTGGGGTTTCCTATCTCTGGTGACAAAAGTCTTCGTGGTGGAGACTGCATCGGTGCGCGTGTGGGTGCATTGTGTCACACCAAGTTTTTGCGGATGCCCAAGCCCGTATCAGGCTGTTCGGTCACGGCTGCACCACACAGACAGAGCCAAGAGTTAGATGCTACTCGCCACATGGCTGTTTGACAGCCAAAAAAGATGGGATTGCTGGTTGCACAGCTCCGGCGAAAAACCCACTTCCACTGCGGTCGCACGACCATGCCCGCAGGTGTCACAAGTTAAACTTACAAATGCAAGGGGGCCAAAGTTTCACCATCGCAATTCGTTGAGAGCAATGCACAAACATGTGAAGCTTGTGACATGTTCCGTGGGAGGTCAGAAATTTAGGTAAGGCTCTGGATTGCTTCGGCTTCGCTCTTGCATCTGTTCGCACTTGCAGGTGCGACCGTATACTGGAGCCTGGAGCCATAATGCAAGCCTCGCCGAACACAGGGCGAGGCTGCCGTAACCTCCAGATCGAGGCTAGTCGAGGGTCGGCCGAGGTATGAAAGTGCCCGCCTTGACCCTGTGTGACATGACAAAACTGATGGAATCCAATCTCTGGCAGCGACTTGCCGAGAGGATTCATCTCGCTCATTGTCTGATGGCCATGATCCAGAGTGCATCGTCACTGTCGCTATCCTCAAGCGGCGACAACCGCGTGCAGGCCCAATTATTGCAAAGTCTGATGATGCAGACAAGGAGGAGAGGCGAGAAACCTCCACTTGCCTTCTTGCCGCCCGGGGTGCTATCTGAGAGGCCACAGGAGACATCATTCCCATGAAGGGTCACCTGCCGGGACAGATAACAGGCAGAGGTGAAGCCTCCGAAGGCAAAGTCACTGCCAATGCCGAGTTGCAATAGAATGCAAACGCTACTAATAGCCATGAACTTGTTTTCGCCATGCTTGCGTCCAGCTCTTCCACAGCTAGGCTCGAAAAGCGGTCTTGCATTACGGATCAGATTCTTCAGGGTCTGGACCTCTTTACTCAGGTCTCAGTGCCATCACTTCTCAACGGCCGCGGTGCGGCTGTCTTCACACGACTACATCGGCTCTTTGGGCGCCAGGCCCCCCTCCGCTTTCAAGCCAAAGGCTTGCTCTGTCTTACTTACCAGGAGGGGCTAAGCGGACTCAAGGAACGCACTTATAGATCGGACTTATGGATCGCTTTGGGGTTATAATTGGGGGAACCACAAGCGGAAAACGGAACTCTGGACATTTTGCAGTGTTTGCCTGACACTCATGCACAAAGCACACAATTTTTTGAATTGTCCATATCGTTTAGAATTGGCACCCACCTGGACATTTTTGAGATTTATATAGTTATACTTTGGAGTTATAATAGGGGACACCACAGACGGAAAACAGAACTCTGAAAATTCTGCAGTGCTTGCTTGCCATTACACCAAAAAAACATGTTTTCAAATGTCCATATCGATTAGAATTGGCACCCACCTGGACTTTCTGTTATTGTTTCTTGATTTAGATATATACTTTGGGGTTATAACAGAAAAAAACCCACGTGGACATTTTTTGGTCTATAGATGTACTGTACATGCTATAAATAAAAATATCACGCATGAGCAGCTGCGACCTGCAAGGCCGGATTCTTGGACGCATGTGTTCATTTCGGGCGCTTGAGGCTGCATGCATGCCAAACTTGACTTGCAAAGTATTCAACCTCTGAGCATTTGGGCTCGACCACTGTTAGCAGCTCTGCCATTTTCGGGTCCACGATCTGTGCAGAAAACATTCCACCGATGCCAGCGAGAGACCGATCCCGATCCAGAACTCCTACAAGGACCATTTGGAAGTGGTGCTGGAAGACATGCATCTATCACGGTCGGCAGTGACTTTGCTGCAACAGACCCGGGGGAGGGGGGGGGGGGGGCAGGACGGTCGCAAAAATAGGTTTGTGAACATGAGAGAATATGTATCAATGACACCCCAGCTCAGGGTATGGTACTGGGTGTGGTGGCAAGAAGCGATTCCGGATCCCGCGCAGGGCAACTGAGCTGGCTTGGAAGGTCGTCCGATTAAATGTACAGCGCATGTAATTAGTTTCTCACGTTGCAGACGTAGAGCCTCGTATAATTGCTCATTGACTCTTTCTGCCAAATTGCTATCGCGCCTGCAATGCTATCGTGCCTGCAATTTTGAAGCCAGCTTGCGAGCATGCATGAACGAGACTGTGATGATCAAGACTTTAAATACATTATATGTGCAGTTTGGTCGATGTGTTATACAGAATATATATATATATATATATACAGACAAAATGCTAGTTGTTTTATTTGTCTCATATTACACTACATGCGTACAACCAATATACATATATACTACATTAATGTTTTACACATATAGACACTTGCATGCATGATGCTGTTGTTGGTCATGTGTGTCTGCCGTGCCATGCTGGCCGTGGGCTCAGAATTCGGATAGAAAATGGTGTGTGTGTGTGTGCATGTGTGTATATATAGCATAGCGTTTCTGAGGATCCGCGATCTCCACAGTGGTCGTCGGCGACCTCAGACTAGGTGCAACCCAGCTCTGCTCTCTTTGCATAATTGTGCAGCGTTTCTGAGGATCCGCGATCTTCACCGTGGTCGTCGGCGACCTGAGACACGGTGCAACCCAGCTCTGCTCCCTTTGCACTGTGCATGCATGTCCTTGCAGTGGCATTCGGAGACTGTGTAGTTTTATGATTATTTGAAGTCTGCTCTATAAACCTAGAATCTCTATATGCATATACATATTGTACTTTTTCTGCACTCATCCATGAACGGCTTCCGCATTGCACGGTCTGCTATAAAGTAGTTCCGCATTGCACTGTCTGCTATATAACAATCATAGAATCTCTATATATACATATTTTTTATTTACATATGTATATATAGAGATACATATATGCTACATTTTATGCACTCATCCATGCACGGCTTTCGCATTGCATGCATGCATTTCAGGTTTTTGGCTCACTTGCAGCTTCGGCCCGTAGGAGGGTCGTTGGATCCCTAAGACTCCAAATAGCCCAAAGTAGGTACTATATTTATAGACTTTAGACCCCAAAGTAGGTACTATAATTGTGTACTTGGAGCCTGAGGGGATGGAAGCGGTTGGCAATGATACTGCAATGGAAGCAACCCCTTGCCGTCGACTTAAGCAGCAGCAGGTGAGAAGGCGAAATATCGATTTAATTACCTCCGAATTGTGTGCACGTTTTGCCGATCCCCAGCTAGACCTCAGTGAAAAAGCCAATCGTACAGGTGAGCTGTTTCCGCGAGGTAACTTTAAGAGACACGGGGTGAAGCGCCTGTTTTCCTTTGCTGCAAAGTGCACGGGCCGTGTTTTCACCCGTCGATTGTGCCGTGCAGTTGTAAAGAAAACTGTCACGCAACTTCAGTTGACACCGGCCATTGACCCTAGTGAGTCATGGCAGTCATGGTACACTCGACAGGCCAAACGTCTGCAATGTTTGGCTAAAGGGGCCAAGCGGGCGTCCTTTGTAGACCTAGACTCCATGGAGGATACGCAGCCAATGGATGCCGACACAGCGGACTCCATCGCTGCCACTCGGCTATTGCATATGCATATGCTCATGCATCTTCCGCGTTCTTTAGCATAAGATGTGCTATGTGTATATATACATATATATATATATAATAGTCTATATTTGTACACACATGGTTCATATTCTATATATCATATTGATATATAGAGACATATATTCTCTCTCTATATATATATATATATATGTATATATATATATATATATATATATTGTAGCATTATATATCTGAGGCGGACTTTATCCAGAAATCCATGGAGGCTGGGGTCCATGTTATTATAACACATATATATATACATATTATATACATATACACTCATGCATGTGTTATTGCAGGACCCGCCTACTCCCGACTGCCAGCTCTGCGCCCATGGATACAACAGCAAGGATTCGTGGCTCAGGGTTACTCGGAGCATATATGTGCCTGGTGTGTGTGCAAGTTGGCGCTTATCCTATGTCCTGAGGCCCCCACTAGACAGCTGGGCGATTTCGACCTCGAGGAAGAGTCGGATGAGGTTGGGTCCTCAGCGTCCTTAGGAAACATTGGTTATGAGGAAGCATATATATATATATATACGTATATAAACAGACAAATAAAGAAATATGTTTTTCATATTTATATATATATATATATAGACTGCCAGGAGCAGTGGACGCGTGAGGATTGGAAGAAGATGATGACCGTACCTTGACTGTGCTATGAAAAGCTGAATTGAGCAGCTTGTACTATTGCATGTCGCTGCAGGACAATGGTTTCCTGGAGTCCGAAGCCGACTGGTGGATCCTCTGGCAGGCCGGCGCCCGGAGACTGTTGTTTCACGAGTTTAAAACTTGCCAAGGACTTGGGTCGCCCAAGCTCGTCGGATGAGTGGACGAAAGCCACGAAGCGAGATGTGCGCCCAGCATGCATGTACATATGTTGTATGGTCTAGAATCCCAAATCGACCATGCAGGTACGGGAGGATACGTGGCTTCAGGCATCGGTGTTGCTCTTGATTATTTATATATACCCTAAACCCTTAACCCTATAAACCCTCAATATGTATACGGCATTGTGTGAAGTATGTCGAGCATGTGTCGGTATTTAGTCATGCTAAATGGCAGGACTTGTCTTGGCAAGCTGAGGGCGGCGATGCATGGTCGTGCTTCGAGGCAGTGAGCTTTGTTTCAAAGCATCTTCATCTCTGGAAAAAAAATATATATATATATATATATGTGCAAGGAGCCAATCGAGAATGCAGCGGCAGCTGGACGCAGCCTGTCCAGATCTTCGCTGAAAGGCGACAAGGTTCCGGCCGATATCCAGAGTTCGATCTTATATATCTCAGAACGGCGCCTTCATGCTTGCAGAGGCTGCTGCAACCCAGGATGGGCCAACGACCCGCTTTGGCCTCGACAGTGGTTACGTATATAAATTATAAACGCATCGAACTCTTCAATATCACAGAGGCCACGTCCGCTTCCGATCCGGCCATGTGGTCCTCGAGGATATATCAGTATACAGGCCGATTCTTGCGGTCTTTTATATCCATGCATGCTAGCCAGGACAAGCCACTGGCTAGAGAGCTGTGGGGGGCCTCAGGAGTTAATCCTGGTACGGGTTTTATATGTTTACATCTCTAACACCTAACAACATCATTCATACATTGTATTGTGCTCGATCAAGATAAACACAGAATTTAATTCACGTATATGCATGATAAAAGATCATGACGTTTCTGACTGAGGTTTCCGGAGTCGCCTCTCGATGCGAAGGATCCCAAAAAAGCGGTCACGCCGATGGCACAGCAACAGCTCCGTTTGGCAAAACGGGCTGCTGCAGAGGAAGAGGCATCAAAGAAGAAGAAGAAGGCGGAGCACTCGTTGTACATATGTATATATATATATGCCTACAAAGATACATCGACTGTTCATGCTCCTATGTTGCCAAAATCGAAAGGCCACGACCCGAAAGGGCACGGCCGAAAGCTCGAAGAAGGCGCTTGCCTACATTAAGATACATCGACTGTCGACGCTCCATTAATGTTGCCAGGATCCAAAGGCCACGACCCGAAAGGGCACGGCCGCAAGCTCCAAGAAGGCGCTTGCATACATTAAGATACGACTGTCGACGCTCCATTGTTGCCAGGATCCAAAGGGCACGGCAGAAAGCTCGAAGCGTGGGAAGAGTGCCTACGGCCGGGCGAAAGACCTCTTCAAAGCCAAGTGTCTTGGTGCATGCGT